CAAAAAAACAACAACAAAAAAAAAATACCCAGAAAATAATGTTGCGGTTTGAGATGCTGATAACTTGATGTAGAATCTCTACATAGAGCGTGTGAAAAATCAGGATTATTTTGTGTGCATTTTGGGGGAGAGGTGGGAAGCTTCATTTAGCCTTATAGGCATTATCATTTCAAGCATCCCATGAGATCATCAGGTCAGCGATTTGCAAAAAGTATTTAGGCAGATCAGCTTCTCTGGAAATGGTTCCTATACTTTACTTTTGGGACTTTTTTTGTTACTCAACTGCTTGAATACTTGAATAAACCATTCTCCAGGACAAAATCATTTTAATCCTCTTAAACACAGTGGTCTGAACTATTTGACAAAGTTGTACAGGGCTTACACATCAAAATATTGTTTCAGTGTTCGGATAACCATGTGTTTCCTTTACTTTGACAAGAGTAATGTACTTTTTACCTTATTTATCTGTATGAAATTCCAACAGTTAATTTGAAAGTGTTTGTTTATATAATGTTTGTATTTTTAGGTCTTTAATACGGTGTTTCTACCTCTCCTTTGTAATTGCATGCATTATTCTTGGAACTAGGTAATAACTCACTGAACTGTTGCGTAATAGCCTTTTTATTATGGCCTGTATAAATGTATATTAAGGTAAAAATAAATACTGACACTAGAAGTGTTTCTATGGTACAACTTGAGTTTGTGTGTCTCTGTAAGCAGAGGTGGTAAATTCAGGAAGAACAGTCTGTCCTTGGCTGGTTAAACCCGTTGCTGAACGTTCCCCTCGGCAGCTGGAGCTGCCACCAGGGCAGGATGGGGCAGCATCCTTGAGTTCCTTATCTCTGGGTGGCTCTGGCACAGAGTGTCCCCGAGTTTGTTTTCCCTGGCTTTAGGAAAACAATTTACCCTGGTTTTTTTTTTTTTTTTTTTTTTTTTTAAACTTGGATTTGAAAACGAAAATGCTAAGTAGGAATCCTCAGCAACAGCTGTATGTTCTTTCAACAAGGTGCTTATTTGTTGCCTCTAGCCAAGAGGAGCTGTCTGGGCTGCCAGAGCAGCCTATACAGAGCTAATGGACAAAAAAACTGGCAGGAAGTTACAATTTCTATCCAAAGCTTACCAAAAATGGGCTTTGTTCACCTCAGAGCTGATGCCCTCTCCCCAGCTGAGTGGTGCTGTGGTAGCTGCTAATGTGGCTGTTGTATTTCTTAGTTGTACTATCAGAATTTTCCCAGTTTATTATTGTGGCTGGCACATAAAGAGGATGAGGAAGGAGTGAGCAGGGAATGCTAATGACATGTCTGAACCCAAATCTAGGAACAAAGCAACAGCCTCAGTGCACAAGACTAGGAGATAGGCTGCTTTTCCCAGGAACTCACTGGTTTTTGTTGGTTTTCTTTTTTTTTTTTTCTCCTCTCAGGATTCAAGCTCATTCTCCTTCCCCTCTTGCCAGCAAGACTCCAGCTGCACAAACAGGAGGAGAAGAAAAGGGCCATTCTTGCTGGCTGTTTTCAGGAGGAGGAGACCAATGTTCATGGCCTGTCTTTCTGCATCAACTCATTCCACGAAGATCCTGAAGCTGTCCTCTGTCTCCGGCTCCCCGCGCTGAACAGCAGGTGCTTGTTTTTACCAAATTCTTTTTTTTTTTTCCCCCAGCCTTTGAAAGATAGAGCTTGAAAGGAGGTATTTTGACGTGCTTTTCTAGTCCAGCTCTCTAGCATCTCCTCAGGCTCCATGTTCTGTGCTTGTTCCTCCCTCTCCATAGTGTCTAAACCACATTTTGACTCTGGCATTTGCTGCTCTCTTAAGTTGAACTCTCAGCCTTTCCTCTGCTGCAGACAATGAAATTTAGTTAATTTGACTTGCAACTAACATGCTACAAATTACTCCAAGAAGCATTTTTGCTGTGTGAGTTGTTCCTGGGACTTGCTACCTTTTGCACAATTCTTGCTACTTGCTTGTACGGCTCCATCCAGCTATTGCTGTGTCATCTCAGGGTTCAGAGGCAAAAACTTATGACTCACCCTTACGGTGGTGCTGTGCTCAACTGCACCCAAAAGTGAACCTTGCTTTTCGTCTGGAGCAAGGAAATCTGGATCCTGCTGCTCCCAAAGGCTTTGAAATTCAGATAGGCTGGCTTGTGACCTGACTTGTGACCCACTTCCTTTCTGTTTCCCGTTTCCTCTCCTTTTTTTTTTTTTTTTTTTTTAAATTTAAATTCTAATCCTATGACTTTTTTGTCTGCTCTGAGCTCTGCGTGCTACTATCTTTTTTGGCTGCCCAGGACACCTTTTAAGTCTTTAAGCAAATCTCCCTTTATCCTGAGCTTCCATGTCCGACCCCAGCCATAGCCCTGGCTGTGGCTTTTCCCGAGCGCTCCCATAGCTCCTCCTTTCTGCAGAGGAGTGAAGTCTGTCCGGGTAACCCCTCTCCTGAGGTCTCTAAGTCAGCTGGAGCCCAGTGGAACTAAGCCTTGGCACTGCTCCTTTGGACAAACACCTTTTCAATAGGCTTTTGTGCACGGCAGGCTCCCCCCTCCTCTCTGCCTGAAAGCAAACCGAGTGCCAGTGGGGCTGTTGAGTCTTGTTGCAGTCCTTGTGCCAATCACCCCCATTGTTTCTTTGTGTCGCTTTTCACATTTTCCATGGCCCCAGCTATGTCTACAATGCAGCCCACAGACCACGGCTCTGTAAGGACACAGTATCTCCTTCTTGCCACTCTGAGATCAGCCACAGCTTTCAAAACAAGTGATGCCATAAATGAACTGAGCTCTATTTATTCCTGTTAGGTTCCTTAAAACCTCTCCCTGTCGTTCATCTTCTGTGCCCGCTTTTGTGCTCGAGTGCTGTTTGGGCTTTGTATCTGCCCATCTTGTGCCATTGGGCAGATTCTGTGACTTCTGGAAAACACTTGGAATTTGAGGCTAGGCAGAGATCTAGGCAGGAATTGAGGATTGTCAGCCCAGCTGAAAACTTACAGTTCTCTGAGCGTGGTGTGCAAGCTAAACAAATATTTATTGATTAGCTGTGGGTTTTTGGTGGACTCTTGAAACCAAATACTGCTCAGCATATCTTCCAAATCAAAGTCCTCCTTCCCCTGGCTCTGTTGGATGCTTTTGGGAGCAGGGCAAGGACCAGCACAAAGGGCTGCTCCCCAGGGCAGGGCAGAGCCTGTCTCATTGCAGTTAATTGACTCTGCAAGGGGAGCAAGGGTTTCGAGAAATGAGGGGAGAGGTGAGACTCGAGCTCAGCTTCTCAGTAAAACCTCTCTTGCTGCTGTAAGTACAGCCCTGGGGATTAGAGCCCCCCCCAGCACTGCTCACCTCCTGATTCCTGTGGAGTTCCATTATTTTCCCATAACTAGTTCCCTTTATTGTTTCTTAGTGACTGAATAAAAATAGAGAGCACTGCCAGCTGCCAGGCGTGGGGAGCACACCGCAGACCACGCGTCTCACCGGCGCTGCCTGGGGTACTCCTCCGTCTCACTCCAGATCCCACACTTCCCTGAAATCTCAGCTGCTCCAGGGAGACTCAACCACTACTTTGCAACACTTAAAACACCCTCAGCTTTGTTTCCTGTCCATAACTGGCTGAAAGCTGTCCCTGACAAGGACCAGAAGGGAATGACTGTCTCCCAGGATGCTGTCTCATTTCTGGGGAACCGTGGCACAGCCCCAACCTGCTGACCGCTGGGATAACTGGGAGCTGGGATGTTTGCTTCCCCTGTGTGATGCCAAGCACAAGAAGCACTGCTGTGACGTGAAAACCCTTGGGCTGAAGGACGAGAATTTTACAAGCTCTGGAGAATGGCCGCTGTGGAAAATGTAGGTAAATATCCATCTCCCTGCTCCTGCTTGCATCCTGGGCTGTTTCCCCAGGTAATCCTCACACTAAGAGCTCAGACTTTACTCTGATTGCAGTAGCATTGATTCCTTACCTGATTCCTCTTGGACCTCCAGACAATGCGGTGCCTGGACACAGCTCTGACCAGCCCTGCAAGGATGCTGACAGGACCAAGGAGAGCACTACAGATGTCTTCTTCAATGCAAACCCATCTTTCCATACGCCACCTGGAAGAATCCTGTCAAGCCCAGCTGGTTTTTCTTTCCCATGTTGCCTCCTGCACACAAGTATTGGCAGTTGCTCATGTCATTCTTCCCCACAGCTGGGTGTTTGCTGCCGAGATTTGTGTAACAGGTTGTGAAATGTTCACACTGAGCCACAGCCCAGGAGCTATTAGGGAGGCCAAGTGACCACAGTTGGTGTTTGGGGGGAGTTGTGGTTCAGCACAACTTGCTGAGCTAAAGGGCACTTCCAGTCACTGTGAGCTGTGTTGATGTGGGAAAAGGAGATGAAACTTGTCAGGAGAAGGGGAGCTCCATTCTAGGCCAGCCCTGTGTGTCAGAGGTGAGGTGGGCAAGGATTTTGTGGGGAAAAGCTCCAGCTGAGGAGCATTGGCAATTAATGGCCTGGTTAGAGGTAGAGTGGCAATAAAAGGCCTGGCACCAAAGGTAGCGCGTAACAACCTGCACGTAAGTTTTAAATAATCCCCGTGCACTTCTTAGAACAAGTTGTGGCAGGTCTATTTTTAACTGGAATGCACCCAGCCTTGTCTCAGCTCTGTTCTCTGCATATTTTTTGGCTCGTTTCCCACGCAAGTGCTGTATCAAGGTTAATTCGACTTTCCTGGCCGGACAAGCTATTCCTGCCGCTTTGCTTCTTCGCCTCCCCCCAAACACCACATCGTCGGGCTTCCCTTCCTCTCAGGAGACTGGAAGGGAGGGCAGGGGACAGCCGTGGGTGCAGCTGCTCCGATAAGGCCTCGGGGAGGGGACTCTGCCCTCCTCCCGCAGTGCTCTCCCGGCTCCACGCCCCGCAGCGTTTCACAACCCGCCGGGCCGTGCCAGATCCGCTCCCACCCCCGGCTCGGCGGCTGCTTCCCGGCGCACCGGAGCATCCTTCGGAGCGGGCGGCGCTGCCACCACACCGCCCACCCCCGCGGGGAAGCACGGACGGAGGATCCCCCCACGGCGCGAGTGTCGAGGTACGGGCGGTGAGCGCACCCTTCACCCCGCTCCGCTCTCCCGGCAGCGCCGGGGCCGCCCCGCACACACAGCGGGACCCGCGGGCAGCGCGGAGCCGCCCGGGGCGCTGCGGGACGGCGATGGGGGCGGCGGCCTCGCCCGTTCCGGTTCCGCCATGTGAACGGAAAAGGGAAGCGGGCGAAGCTGCGGTGGCCCCCGGTGGGCGGCGGGGCCGCGGGGGCGGAGGGTCCTGCCCGCGGGGGTGTTGCGGGGGGAGCAGCAGCCGCCGCCGCCTCGCAGCCACCCGTTGTCGCACGGGGTGTCGCACCGGCCCCGCTGGCGGCTCGGGGGGGTTCCTCGGAGGGGTGACGTCCTCCCCCCCCGGGGTTCCACCCCCTCGCTGGGCATCGCTGGCTACGGGGGTGGGGGAAGAGACCCTGGCTGGGGCAGCCCTCGGTTTTTCCTCCGTGACATTCCTGCGCGCCCACTTAACGTTCGCTTCCCCGAGCTCCTTGTCAAACTTTTCTAACTCGGGAATTATTTAAGGTTTCAGAGAGAGGCGGTGGGGAGGGGTGGCGGGTGGAGCTGGGAGCGTGTCCGGGGCTCGTGAGGAACGGCAGGCTCTGTGTGCGGGCAGGGAGGGCCCGCGGTGAGCCGGGTGTTGCTGTGTCTCCCCGCAGCCCTGAGCAGCAACGGAGAGGATGGAGAAGGTCGTGGCGAGGGCCAGAGCCGCCTTCAACTCGGGCCGGAGCCGCCCGCTGGAGTTCAGGATACAGCAGCTGAAGGCCCTGGAGCGGATGCTGAAGGAGAAGGAGAAGGAGATCCTGGCAGCTCTCCATGCGGATCTGCACAAGGTCTGGGTCGGGGCGTTTCTCCCGTCAGCCATGCATGGACAGCAGCCAGCCCGGAAGGCAAAGTGGGAAGGCCGAGGGTTGGCTCTGCTGTGCCAAGTGGCTTTTGCTCTTGTCCCCCATGGCCCTGGCTCCCTCTGTGGCCTGCCAAGGTCTGCTGTCACCATTTCTAAGAAGGAGGTAGTCTAAGGCAGGACTGCAAAGGCAGGCCCTGGCTGTCAGCTTTTGGCTTCTGTCTCACAGCCCCAGACTGAGTGTCTTCTGCCAGGGATCCTTTGGGGCAGTGTCAGGGACTTCGAACCAGCAAAATTTACCTTTTTTCCCCATGGTGGGTGTGGGAGATGGGTGCCTCTGCCGTCCCCTCCCCAAGCATCTTGTCACTGCAGGGTGGGCCCAACGCCTACAGCCATGAGATCCTGGGCTTGCTGGCGGAGCTGGCCCTGGTCATGGAAAAGCTGCCGTCCTGGGCAGCCCCTCAGCCCGTGAAGAAGAACCTGATGACAATGAGGGACGAGGCCTACATCAACTTTGAGCCGCTGGGAGTGGTGCTGATCATCGGGGCCTGGAACTACCCCTTTGTGCTGGTCATGCAGCCTCTGATCGGGGCCATCGCAGC